TAGCGCATCTGCTGACAATGGCAATGATTTGGCAGCCATGGCTACCGTTTAGGCTGGTGGATCGGAGATCGAGCACCTCATTCAAAGTAGCTCTCTCAAAAATCAATCCTTCACCTGTGACATCTTCAGAAGAAACAATTCTCTGCGACATTTCCCAGGGTACACCTCGCCCTGTAGTGCCTGCATTCTTCTACGCCAAAGTGCTCGATACACTGCACAACTTATTGCATCCCAGTATACGTGTTTCAGTCAAATTGTAACTGAACGTTTGGTATAGACCAAAATAACCGATGATGTCTGTAATGGGAACTGTTGTTATCCCCACTGCCAACGTTCCAATGTCCACCGTCAGACGAAGAGCATCTGTGGCACCTACCCTACACCAGATGCACGTCTTCACCACGTGCGTGTCGATCTGGTTGGCCCATTACCACCCTCAAATAGCTATATTCATCTGTTGACCTGTGTTGACTGCTTCACAAGATGGCTTGTAGTCATATCGCTACCGAACTGTGCCTCAGAAACGGTGGCTAGGGCTTTTCTGGAACGTTAGGTGGCACAGTTTGGTTGTCCAACAGTAGTGACCACAGATCGTGGATCACATTTTGAAAAACATTTCGCGGTCCTCCCAATACGTTGGAATGCAAGCACATTCAAACTAGGGCTAACCATCTGACAGCAAACGGGTTGGTTGGACGTTTGTGTCGACAGCTAAAAGCCGCTCTTAGTGGGTATGCTAATGTTTTTTATAAAAAGAGATTATTTCGTTAGTTCTTTTAAGGTTACAGAACACGGTTAGTGAGGACTCTAGCGCATTTGCAGCCAAACTAATTTTCGGTTGTCCACTTGGGTTACCAGGTGAACTCACCATAATTGCACCTTCAGCACTGTACTGTTACGTCAGCTATACATCTCGTGTGACGTACCACATACGATAGCTAGGTTCGTTGCAACCTAGCAAACAACCACTAGCTGTGCATGTGCACGCTGAACTGTCCTCATTTACTCATGGTTTTCTACGCACAGATGACCTGCGTTGACCACTGCAACCCATATACACCGGCCCCTATCTTGTTCTTGCAAGACGCACAAAAATATTCACCGTTGATCGCAACGACAAACACGAGGTAAATTGTGTAGACATAATAGAACCAGCATTTATGTAGGAATCATCAGTCACACCTCCGTCGAAAATTAGCTTTCCCGCCTGGAACACCCAGTCGCAGAGAAAAGCTTTGCGTCCCCGGAACACCCTGGGGTCGTCAATATCTCAGCAACCTCAACATTTGTTCCTTCTACCTTCAGACGTAATTGTCTTTGTAGGGAGCTTCGCAAACCCGTACATTTTGTGGAATAAATTAACATTTCTTATAGATGGAAATGATCTATTTTGCAACATGACATACGCATATTCTTACTCGCTGTTTTTGTTCATCTGCAGTTCTGAGTTATGGTAAATCTGGATTTAGCGATATAATAAAAACGGTTATTTTACACAACTAACTATACATTCTTCGAGGTTTTGGGTATTTTGACACGTAAACAATACAACCGAAAAACTGTTTGGTTTGACGCTCACATTTGCAGTTTTCTGATGCGTTACCAGGTGATAAATCGAAACGCCGTTGTTTTGTACCACAAGGGCCTAGCCAGACTGGAGTGTTTATTCGGGAATCGGAGCAGGGCGTACGACCGCACTGCGCGTCCAGTCCAGGCTGCCGGGATGAACCAAGAGTTTGCCAAGGATTTGCCAGACGGTGAAATGACAGGTTGGTGCGTTCAGTTTGAATTCCACGTGATAAGACGAGCGCAAATTGTGACTGATTTGGGACTGAAGTGGTGTGCTTGGTGAACAGTGATTTCAATGGGTAATCAGCATAGATAGTTCAAATGTTGAATTTATAATTCTGGCTTCATTGCACAGTTTCACGGCACACTTTCAAGGTGTTTATCGTTCAAACAATGGAGCACCTGAGCTTCAATTTAAAGCCGTGGGCGTGGCCAGGGTGGATCGGGAAACTGTGCTTCAAGAGTTTGAGCGGGTGATATCCCGGCTAAACAGCACGAAGTTCGCAGGACCGGACCACATCGACCCGGCTATCCTGAAACCTCTGTCTACAGATCAGAGAGCAGAAACTGCAGACCAGTAAGCCTGGCATATTTTAATGTGATAAACGTCATAGAGAGAGTAGACTAACTGTCATCCATTCTCCATGGATGATCAGTAAAAACTGGGTGTCCATTCTCACATACGCAACCTTGGAATAGTTGAGGTTTCTGTTTTTCGAAAACTGCTATCATAAATGGGACACAAAGTCCAATGTCTGCAACAAGCCGATACGTTTCTACCGTTCATCACTATAGTTCCATTCAAGATTGCCTTGAGGATGCGTGGAATTCCATTAGTCAGAGTGACAGAGTGATGCGTCGTGCATCACTCTGTCAATGTTTGAGCAATCATCACCTGTATCGCCAAAACGACGTACGTCCTCCACTCTGTTCTCCCCGACTTCTGTTGTGCCTTTTTCTTCCACCCCATCCACTCCTGTGATGGTTCCTCCTCCTGTCTCAACTATGTCTACTCTTGCTTCCGGTACAACCGACAAGTTGGTTATTATAATTTTCAAACCATCTACAATCTTCAACGTTCGTAGTTCACGTGCGATGTGTGAAACTTGCAGTAGCAACGACCAAGAAAATACCCTTGAGCAGTTCAGGATTTCTAATTTCAACCCCTTACAGCAGTCTCTGGGAGAATTCTGGAGACTCTACATGTGCTTAAGATGGAGGTGAATGTTTGAAGAAAAACATGAGGAACAAATTTTTAGTCGATGCAAGGCTGTGAGGTGGCGGCGACGAACTGGCATGCATGTCAGTGGTTACACCTTACCGTGCTGTTCAGAACTTCGACTGCGGAGAACTGGTGTTGATGAACGAACAAAAAAGAAAATTAACGGTGAGAAAGTGCAGTAGTTAAACTAAAGTCTACGTACTAAGTTCGGTTTTTTTCACGATTCGAAGGCGATAATCTGTGCAATGTGATACGCAAAATTAGCCAGTGTCTGTTTTCAGACAAGTTTGCACAAAATTTCAGTTTGACCAAATTTCGTCACTATGGTCGCAAACTGAAAGGGTCCAATATAATGTTGGTTATCGAGGGTATTGTATTGAAATAATTACGTACAATGTTAGAGTCCATATTTAACAATGCCTCATTGAACGCCTCCATTGACACCGTGACAACCTTTTTTCGAAAGTGGTTTAACAACGCACGCGAATGATCGGGCGGTCGTGTCGACAGAAAACGAAAATACGACAAAGGAATTGGGCACCCGGAACGCATTACCATGTTTTGTAATTTTTCAATTTCTACGACCTTCTGTAAGTACACGCAGGAATACAAAACTACAGCTTTCGAACTACAGTGTCACGAACTTCTACGTCTAGTTTGTGTTGTATTCATGGTGTGACTGTCATTTCGCACCCGTAGCAAGTAAGAACACTGGTTGTAACTGCAGATGCCAGAGAACCATTGAACCGGCGTACATCGAAATAATGTCTCGGTACGGCCGTTTTGTATGAATTAATTAACAACTTCGGATGGACACTTCAGCCACCGTTGTTGGCTTGCAAAGATGCGTTTTTGCACGTACACTTCTGTCGAGTCACGTCAATGTATGCACGGTCATGGCGAAGTTTACGTCACGGTGGTCTGCTCAAGCCCGATACGTACACAGATCACAGGAGATCGACGACCACAGAGCGGATGTACCGAAATTGGAGCAACGCACACGGCCTCACTGGGGGCCCAGTCCAAGCTGCCGGGATAAACCAAGTTTCTGCCAAGAACATTAAATAAATGAGGCAGATAGTGTCTGTCCCTGGTTAGAATCCAGCCGAAGCCCTGACTTGTCGCGGTTGGGTCTCATCTGATTTGATAAATCTGCCACACAACTTATTAATAATACCAATTCCATGCTCAACAGTGGAGTTGGTGAATTCCAGCGTGAAGTGTTTGAGAAAAACTGCCGCGCAGTCGATCCCCTGGATAATTATATACCCTCCGTATGAGACAGTGGGACAGGTGTGCAACCGAGTTCGAATGTGAAATTTCCTACCTCCTGGCGTGACTTCGTAACTCAGCTGATGGAGCGGTTGCCCCGTTGAGGCATGGTGTGTCTGTTACTGTTTCGAATCCAGCCGAAGCACTGACTTCTCGCAGTTGGTTCTAATTTGATTTGAAATATCTGCCACACATCTAACTAGTAATAAAATGCTATGCTCTACAGTGGCGTTGATGGATTCCAGCGAGAAGTATTTCAGAAATCCTGCAAAGGCATTCGATCACCTGGATCATTTGGTGGATACCATATGAGACAGTGGGAGGGCTGAGTAACCGAGTCCAAATGTGAAATTTCCGCGCTCCTGGCGTGGCTTCGTAGCTCAGCTGGTGAAGCGGATGCTGCGTTTAGGCATGGTGTATCCGTCGCTGGTTCGAATTCAGCAGAGGCCCGGACTTGTCACAGTTGTATATAATTTGAGTTGATAGATTTGTCATACTGAATATTATAAAAAACAATTCTCCGCTCAACATTGGTGTTGGTGGATTCCAGCGTGAAGTGTTTGAGAAATCCTGCCGGGGCAGTCGATCTTCTGGATCATTTGGTGGATACCATATGAGACAGTGGGATGGCGCGGCTTCGAAGCTCAGCTGTTAGAGCAGTTGCCGCGTTGAGGCATAGTGAGTCTGTCGCTGGTTCTTATCCAGCCGAAGCACTAAAATCTCGCAGTTGGTTCTAATTTGATTCGAAATATCTGCCACACAACTAACTAGTAATGAAATTCTATGCCCAACAGTGGCTTTGGTGGACTGCAGCGTGAACTCTTTAACAAATCCGGCCGGGGCAGTCGATGTTCTGGATCATTTGGTGGATTGCATATGAAACAGTAGGACGGGTGTGCAAACGAGTTCGAATGTGAAATTTCCGATCTCTTGACGAGGCTTCGTAGCTCAGCTGGTAGAGCGGTTGCCGCGTTGAGGCATGGCTTGTCTGTCGCTGGTTCTTAACCAGCCGAAGCACTGAATACGCACAGATGGTTCTAATTTGATTTGATATATCTGCCACACAGCTCACTATTATTAACTCCATGCTCATCAGTGGCGTTGGTGGATTCCACCGTGGACTGTTTGAGAAATCCTGCCGGGGCAGTCGATCCCCTGGATCATTCGGTGGATTCCATTCGATACAGTGAGACGGGTGGGTAACCGAGTCCAAATGTGAAATTTCCGAGCTCCTGACGTGGCTTCGTAGCTCAGCTGGTAGAGCGGTTGCCGCGTTGAGGCGTGGCGTGTCTGTCGCTGGATTTTATCCAGCCGAAGCACTGAATACGCACAGATGGTTCTGATTTGATTTGATATATCTGCCACACAGCATACTTATACTAAAATTTCATGCTCATCAGTGGCGTTGACGGATTCCTCCGTGAAATATCTGACAAATCATGCCGTGGCAGTCGATCCCTTGGATCGTTATGTGGATTACATATGAGACGGTGAGACGGGTGCGCAACCAATTGCGAATGTGAAATTTCCGAGCTCCTGGCGTGGCTTCGAAGCTCATGTAGCGTCTTGTACAGCATTTTGTGTTGCATAATTCTCGTTGGTTTTCGCACTTTTCACCCTCTTCGAATTCACATGTACACTCGTTTAAATCATGTGAGTCTATTCAATGAACAATACAAAATATCTTGGTTTCCAAGGTCGCGAGCCCTGTGTTCTCTCTGCGTTCAGTGTCGCGTGCGCTCAGGTTTTTGGGAGAGTTAGCGGCTAACGGAATCCACATTTATTTCAGCACATTTGCAAACTCATCGGTCGTCGGAATCATCTTCGTTGTGACCTCCAAAGTTACCTGGGAGCTATACAACGGATCTTATCTACTGGATACTTCATTCAGTGTGGTGGAACTCTAAACGACGCACTTTCACGAACTACTGTGAGTCAGTTGTTTCCACGTTTTATCACTTTTGGATTTCGTGTCCACACTTGAACTGTATATAACGTTTAGATCCATTACATAAATTGGAACACAAAGTCCAGTCCACTTGGGACTTGGTCGATGAAGCGTTGAAATGTTTGATAGGCGTTCGTGAGGCCAAAGGGCATACGAAGGAATTCAAATAGGCCAACTGGAATCGTGGTGGCTGTCTTGGCGATGTCCTCGGGGGCCACAGGAATCTGGTGATATGCTTTGACCAAATCTAATTTGAAAAGATCTCTTTTCCAGATAGGCCAATGGAAAAGTCGTGAATATGCTGAATAGGTTAGCGATCCGGCACAGTTGCATTGTTCAGCGCCCGGTAGTCGCCGCATGGTCTCCAATCTCCCGCCGTCTTCTTGAGGACCATGTGTAAAGGCGATGACCACGGGCTGTTTGAAGGACGAATGATTCCAAGCCGGAGCATTTCCGCAAATTCCTCTTTGGCGACCTTCAGTTTCTCTGGAGGCAGCCGGCGTGGACGCGCGAATCTAGGTGGTCCTTTGGTGATGATGTGATGGACCACGTCATGTTTCGGCGTCGTGGTATTGGCTGTTGGTTGATAGATTCCGGGAAATTGTTTGAGCAGCACCGTATACTGGTTAGCCTCCGGTAAAGCCTTTCGAAGTCCGATCGGGTTGATAGTAGTGGCTTCACCTTGAGCGCACAAAGTAGTGGTGCTGTCTACGAGTTTCCGACGGTTGAGGTCAACAGCCAGACCGTACTTTGTGAGGAAATCGACGCTAATGATTGCGTGTTGGACGTCGGCGATGATAAATTTCCAAGGGAAATTTCGTCGCAGTCCGAGGTCGACCGTCAAGAGATGTTGGCCATAGGTCGCGATTTTGGAATTGTTAGCCGCCTGTAGTGTATAGTCCGCGGGTTTGAGGTCGCGTTTGAATTTACCTGGGGATATAACGCTGACCTTAGCACCGGTACCGATGAGAAAGCGGAGTCCAGTGGAGTTGCCGTGGACGTAGAAAAGGTGACTGTTGATTAGGCCAGTGGCAGCCGTCGCCATTACTGGCTGGCCAGGTCGTTTCCCTGATTTGCATTTCCCTCAGGGAGCGGACTGGTGTATGCACATGGCCGCGTGCATTTGCGGTAATTGTCACCGAAACGTCTGTGGTAATAACAGATGTTAGAGGTTTGGGGTTTAGAGGTGGAATCGGAAGGTCGCAAGCGAGAGCGGGATCGAGTGCGCGAGAAATGACCATCCTTCATAAGGCGTCCAGCTAAGTTATTCACAGTATGTGTCAGCTGAGATACCTAGCGATGAAGGTTATCCAGGGTGTCTGGTTGTGAATCAGTGCGAGGGGAAGGCTCACGTACATGGCTGATGGAACGTTTAAAGAAACATTCGTGGACCTTGTCTGCGGTTTCTGTTAACTTTTTCAATGGTGTGTCAGGGTTTTGTACAGACAAAATAACGGAGGTGTTGAGCGGGAGGCATGTGGTCCACAGTTGCCTGAGGATGAGATCGCCTATCTTGCTATCACCGACCAGAGATCTCATGTGGCGGAGTAAATGAGAGAGGGTGCGATCACCTAACTCAACACCAGAAAGCAACTGTTGCAGCCTGGCCTCGTCTGAAGCCGTGGTACGTTTCAAAACTGCGGACTTCAGTTTATCATATGGGGATTCGTCTGGCATGGGGTCGATTATATCAATTACTTCGATAGCGATGTCAGTGGGCAACTGCGTAGCCACGTAAGAAATCATGGTGGCCTGGGAGGTAATCTTGCGTAAACGGAAAAATGCTTCTACCTGAGTGAACCACACTCGGGGGTTGGAAATACCAAACACAGGCAATTTAACATTAATAGCGTTTTCGGAAAATAAACTAGCGTTGAAATCAGAAATCATTGGAAAATACTGGGAGTTCTGAGCTTAGTGGTAACGGAATGAATGAATGGTATATATCTACAATAAGCAAGATGAAAAAAATTTCGGGCCAACCAATTTATGTAATGGATCTAAACGTTATATACAGTTCAAGTGTGGACACGAAATCCAAAAGTGATAAAACGTGGAAACAACTGACTCACAGTAGTTCGTGAAGGTGCGTCGTTTAGAGTTCCACCACACTGAATGAAGTATCCAGTAGATAAGATCCGTTGTATAGCTCCCAGGTAACTTTGGAGGTCACAACGAAGATGATTCCGACGACCGATGAGTTTGCAAATGTGCTGAAATAAATGTGGATTCCGTTAGCCG